TTTCAAAACAAAGATGTCCATGATGTTCAAATGGGACAAACAACATGATAATCGAATTAGCTCCAGAGCTGAGCAGGAAACGAAAGGCATAGGAAGGGCCGAAAACATCGAAGAAGGAGTGGGGAAGATAAAGAAAGTCCGACGCCACCACTTCATTTCGCACTCGTTTTTGAATTGAAATACGTCTCAGGGCCTTTGACTCCGTGTACGATCGGTCTACTACGTGTACGGTCAGGGAATTCCAACGCTCTTTGAAATTCCTCGTCCTCCCCCCCCCACCCCTTTAACCGCATAAGGGAATCCTCATGACTCATCGAGCCATCTCAGAGCGACCATTCGATTAGAGTCGCTCAGATGTCTTTATTTCACCTGGCCATATAAAAAATTTCAAGGATTCCAAAGATTACAAAATATCAACACGACAACCTGAAAAGCATCACTTACTCTGCAGAAGCAAATCCGATCTTTCTTCTATCGATAGTAATTTCGCTTTTTTCAACCAATTGGAGAACGATCCGTTTCCTGTAAGATTACCGTAATCAATTAGAGAGAAAGGAAGATACAAGCAGTGGTAGTCTTGATACTGCAACGAAAGTAATAGCGCAACAGGTAACACCGTAATAACAGTAAGTCAGAGAGCCTAGACGACTGCCACTGCACGCGCTTTGAAAAATCTAATTCATCTACTACTAACGGCTTAACTTCATCTACTAATAACAGATAGGGGAAATTTCCTGTAGCGAGCTGTTCAAGAAGACGAGGAACACAGCTGGCACTCCCCGTTCAACGGCCACTTTCCTTGTGAAATAAAAATTGATTACCTAGATCTACGACTCCTTCAAGATTCGCCAGAGCATGGAATAGAGCAAATGTTCCACATGCATTTCCAATCTTTTGTTTCATGAAAAAGACGTTATCAGGCGCAGAGAATCCAGACGACTTCAAGGCTTCATACTCCTTTTCCAGTGGTCTTGTACCCTAAAAAGAAAATCGTTGTAAAACTTCATGGGTTTTCTGAATGCAATGAAGTCATAAGCGCTCAAAATTGAAACCATGAATGCCATCGCAAAGTTTTTTATTTTTCACTCCGCTAGGCAGTCAGATCGATCCTTACATGGGTAGGTGGACTTGTGAGCAGGATCAACTATCCCTTGCGCCAAGTTCGACAAGGGTGGGGGTTATGTTAGAGATTTCTAGATTCATAGGTGTTCGTGTAAGGAGTTTAGATTCAGAGAGGGCTGTATGGGGTGGCCCTTCCAAGGCTAGCGGCGGCAGAGGGATCATTTCAACACTCTCTCAAGAGAAACCACAAGATGCACAAGGGACGGTAAACCCTAGGTGGGACCAGAGCAGCAGAAGTGGTAGTTTCGCGACCAACGAATGTAAAAGTTGCCAGAGGCTGATGACATGAGGCTACGGCCGTCCAAGGTTGCCAATGCATTGGTGTCTGCATCCCGTTCGGCCACTAACCAGGAAGGTCTTTCAGGGCGTGACGAGCTTTTTGAAAACGGTCTTTTGCATGATATAGGGGCAGATGCGGGGACCACAGAACCATGTTTAATTTTTCCTGAACGGCCCTCTGAATACCAGAAAAGGGGTCCCTAGTTCGATTCCTCTTGGTGACAAATTTTTGCATTTCGAGTTGACGTTCCAAAATTCGCGCAAAATGGAGTTCTGATTGTTCTGGTTGGTTCTAACTCCATTTTGCGCGAATTTTGGCACGTCAACTCGAAATGCAAAAATTTGTTACCACGAGGAATCGAACTAGGGACCTCCTTTTCTGGTATTCAGAGGGCCGTTCAGGAAATTGAACATGGTTCTGTGGTTCCCGCATCTGCCCCTATATCATGCAAAAGACCGTTTTCAAAAAGCTTGTCACGCCCTGAAAGACAACTTGAATCATGGTTCCTGTGTTCCCGCCTCTTGCCCCTAT